AACATTCAGGCTTTCTTACAGGATTGTTTTCATACTTCAAATTCTTGTCTTGGTGTGAGTAGTATGCATTCTGGGAGTGCCAGAATTGTTTCCTTTCAGAAAGCTTTTTCCTGTATCTTTGGTTCCTTTCTATCTTCTTATTCCTCATCTGCTTAGGTTGATGATGAACGTTCGCTTTCGTTTTTGTTGTCTCCTTGGCTGGTTCCTTTTGAACTTCAGGAGTTTTACTTTGAGCCGAGGGAGCAGAGGGAATATCCGAAGAAGATCCAGTTTGCACTGAGGGAGTTCCACTTTGAGCTGTTGGAGTAGAGGGAATGTCCTCTTTTGCTGAACGATCATCCTCCTGAGGAATATCTTTCGTACCACTGGTACTTGGCTCATTGATATTATCTGGCTTGTTCAATGGTTCAGGGATATATCTTCCTTTGATCATCCAGGAGGTTCTTTCAGACAAGCCAACGGTTTCGTTTGCATTATCAATTGGAGCTTCCCAGAAGTACTCATCACAGCCATCAGCATTGTCTTCGTTAACAATAGCTGTGAGTTCAGCTGTTTGATGTTCGGTTACTCCAGTCACCTTGTATACTTGATTCGGAGTGGTCCTGACCTTTTGATACACAATTGCTTTCTCTACTAATTTCGGGGACTTTTGTTGGGACAATCGAGCGAACTCCACATAATTTTCAGATATTAGATTTTTGTGGTTTTCAGTTTCGTTTTTAACAAATTCTGAGCAGTCAACCGTATCCTCTACAGAAATTTCACTCATGATTTCGTCCTCGTTAAGCTCAGATGCATTTTCAACATCAATTTTGTTTTCTGAGCTTACGTTGGCGTTTGGAGAGTCAAATTTTTGCATGGTTTCGGTTCTCAGTTTAAGTCTGTCATTTTCATCCAAAAGATTTTTGAGCATGTCCTTGTGGTCTTTGGATTTAATGAAGGACTCAATTTTGTCCAGTCTATACATGTAGGTTGGATTGACATCATCAGACGATATCACACTCTCACAATTGTAGGCTTCGGCATCGATTTCATCCTCCTTAAACTCTAGGAAGGGCAAAATCATGCGATGGATCTTTTGGCCTATCTCACAGTCCAAGTGAAGTTGAGTAATATTGGAATATAAACGTTTAGCAATTAAACAAAAAACATTTCGTTGTTTTAACAATTTTAAATTGTCTCTCTGCAAATAAATGTTTTCGTCTTTAACTTTAACTAATTTCGACTCTTTTAACTCAATCCACATTCGCCGCTCCTCACTCTTCGACGCCACCCTGCTTAATTGATCAGTCAGGTTAGAATTGGTGACTCGAGTTTGAGTTAAGCTACTATCTAAATGAGAAATTCTTGTATTAACATTTTTTAGTTCTTTCTCATATGAGGATGATGGTACTTTAGATGAAATAAAAACAGATTGTACCTTCTTTATCAGTTCATCGAGTTCATTGAACTGCTGGCTGAGTGGTTTGGCCGTAAAGCACATATCCTCCTGTACCTTCGGTCCATTGCTTCCTCCATCGGTGTTGTATCCCCTCATTTGAGATACGTCAGTCACCATGAAGCATTTTTCTCCACTACTTCCCTCCTTAGCCACATACGTCTTTCCATGGGTAGGCTTCCTCACTTCTTCGTCTTCTGAGTCGGTAGACCAAACTTCTGTGCTACCGAACTCATCGTCATTAACCGAACACTGCACAATAAGAGCATTAATAGAAGGGTTAGCGGTAGACTTCTTCTTTCTCAACTCATCCAGTCTCTTCTGCAGCACGGCTTACTCATCATTTCCATCGTCCTTTTCAGCCATCTTCTTAAGAACACAGTCCTTAGCATAGTGGTTCTTGCCACCACAGTAGAAACAGCTTACTCCAGAATCGCCATCTGCCTTCGGTTCCTTCTTGGGCTCCTCAGCCTTCGGTTCATTGTTCACCTTTTCAGAGCTGTAACTCCCCTACCAGTTTCGGTTTTTGTTGCTGGGGAATCTCTTCTTTATGAACCTTTTAGGATTGGACACCATCATGGCATAATCCTCAGACGTGAGGTCATATTCTTCCAAGTTGAGCTCTTCATCCTCTATCACAGCTTTACTTTTAGATAGGAGGGCCAACGAACCAAGACTAGAAACAACGTTCTTCTCTTGTACCACAATCTTCTCTTGGGACTTTAGAATACCCACCAGTTTCGCCAAAGAGTATGATTTAAACTGCTCATGGGCTTTGACTGTGGAAACCACTGCTCTCCATTCAGACCTCAGTCCATTCAAGAAAGTAACCTTCTGTTCGATAAGCTTCCTTTCAATGTCGTGTTTGATCATCTTGCTGAGAAGATGATTGAAGCGATCAAACGTCTGGGTCACCGTTTCTTCGGCCCCTTGCCTGAATTCTCCAAACTCAGATAGAAGCAAGGTTTGGATAGAATGTTTAAGATCTTCGTCTGTGGAATACAGTTCGCGAAGTCTATCCCATACTTCCTTCGCCGTAGTACATGAGCTGACCAGTCTGAATGTGTCGGACTGAAGGGTGAATCTGATCAACCTTAACGCCTTAATATTGCACTGGAATTTGTCTTTTTCATCTTGTGCAATATCCTTCACGTCCTTAAGCAGATCGTTGTACTCCTTTTGTGTCTTAATGATTCTGGATGTTGCAGAATGAGAAAACGGTCCATTGATGATGGCTTCCCATATGAGGTAACCATTGTCCTCCGATCCAATCACGTAATCTTCAAAATGATGCGCCCACACTTCATAGTCATGGGTGTATAAGATTGGAATCTTTGTCGTCGAACCGATGCTGTTGGAAATATTAATAGGGTTTGATTGCGTCGCGTCCATTATGATCGTAAAAACTTGTTCAAAGATCAGACTTGTAATAAAGCAGATTAGGGCAAAACAATAAATATTAAGATACGTCAATTAAGATGACGGCTCAATAAATATCGATGATTGCGGAAAACCCTAATGGAAATCTTTTTCACAGAAAAGATGTGTATCAATTACACAGCCTCATGCTCTGATACCAATTGATGGGATTAAAAACGACTTTTAATCTATGAAGATCGATTAGATCTTGAACAAGTATATGAATATAAAAACAGTAAGAACGCAATAAAAAGAACAAGACAAGATTGAATCAAACGAGTCAAATGATTAAAACAAAATCCTCAGAAGAGCTCGATTAAGAACTTCAACTGTAGAGGATTGGTAGGTTACAAGAACGATTAAAGAAACCTTGAAATTACTATCGTTAAGCCCTCTATCGTTACTCTCTAAATCGTTAACCTAATATGCATGCAAGCATTAACTTATATACAATACATAAAAAGCTCTCGGTTGGACAGGCCCAAACCGGAGTGTACAAGGCTAAACTAACGAGCCCAAAAGACGCAACATCAAAACAATCTTCAGCCCAACAAGGGGTTTACGGCCCAAGAGATGTTCTTGGCCGTAAACTCCTATAAACTTATGATTTTGATGTGTTTTGATGTCTAAAATAGGCACAAGCATTTGAGGATTAAGGTCCTTAAGCATTAGGGGAAGTTTAGGGCACTAAATGCCCTTGAAAAGGGGTTTACGGCCCAAGAGAAGTTCTTGGCCGTAAACTCCTATTACTTGGGTTTCTTGGATGCTTTCTAGTCTCTAAAGATCATACACAAGGTCCTTTACAAGTTGTCTAGCAAGGAATCGGGACTAGGAAGCCTTAAAGTTCCATTTTGGAGTTTACTCCCCAAGAACGTTCTTGGGCGGTAAACTCCCGGATCTTGTAATCTAAACATGTAATTGATGTTATAAAGCATCTAACAAGTATTGAAACACATTTAGTAAAGTAGACTCACAATCTGGGATGAAAACCCGAAGATCCGTCAGAGACAATATAGCTTTTCTCTATTTGGAATTGTAAATAATGAATTAATTTAATTCAGAAAACTACTTATAGTCCTGGAATATTTTGGCAGAAAATATTTTTATTCCTGATATTGGACTGTAACATTATGAAACTTGAAATGCTCAAATTTCACAAAACCAGGAGCATCCACTCTCCTGATATCTCCTTAAACATAAACCCTAATGTACACAAACTTGTTCGGAAAAGTATGAAAATCACTGAAACTGAACTAGCTTCTACTGAATAGATGGTGTTCGTACAAATGGAAATTTCGGGTTGTCACATCATGCGAAAATGCAAATAATTTGCGAAAACGTGAAAACAAGGAAAATCTATGAGATTGTACCACCTCAACATTATCTTTTTGGACAATAATTCATCCAAACTTTGAAATACATGATGATAATCGATATTAGATGAGAAATAGTGTCAAAATTCTGACATTTTTATTATGAAAACGTGAATTTAAAAATGGTTCAGGACGTGAAAAGAAAAGTAATTATTAAAAACGTTTTTCGCATAAACCTACTTATATACATATATATATATATATATATATATATATATATATATATATATATATATATATATATATATATATCGTATGCTATGAGAATGATAAAGAAAATATGTTGTTTAATAATATAAATACGCTCAATCTTACATAAGTATTGTCAGTAACACACATTCTCATAGATTAAATCGTTTATAAGGTTATTATACACTTATTATTATTTTTCTTATTTCTATCAGAATGTTGTCAGAATGTTTTATTTGGGTCGTATTCTGTCAGAATGAAAATGAGTGAAAAAACGATGTATGAGAACAAAAATAAATAATAATTAGCGAGAATGCATGAAAATGACGATATTTTGTAAGGATGAACGTATTCGAATTGCTAAACAACTTATTCTCTTAATAATTATCATAGCATACGATATATGTACAATAATTAATGTGAATAGAATAATCTATATATATATATATATATATATATATATATATATATATATATATATATATATATATATATATATATATATATATATATATATATATATATATATATATATATATATATATATATCAAATGGGCATAATACACCAAGTGGGTATTTCCCAGCAAGCCTTTTAATATTCTCGACGACTTCTAAGTCTTTAAAAACTTAAAATAATAGAGAAGGAGAAGACATAATTTTGAAATTGCTGTATATATATAGATGAAGGGATGGGAAGAAGTGGATTCATACATTCATTCGGAAAAGGTAAAGATTAACATATTTCCTCATAAACGTTTTACTTATAGTATTAGGAAAGAATTTCCAAAAGGAGTTGGGTCAAAATTCCAATCCAAAATGATGTGATTTTAATTTCATTTAACGTTTAAAATCTTAATATTATGTGACATGAACCTGGCGCTTGTGCGTTTTTCTGATTAATGTGTATGCAGGAAAATAGGAAAATAAGAGATACACATAAACAAGAGATCAACCACAAAATAAACGGTTAGTCTTCAATTCAATATGTTGTTGTAACAATATATATATATATATATATATATATATATATATATATATATATATATATATATATATATATATATATATATATATATATATATATATATATATATATATATATATATATATATATGGGAGGTACATTGGAAAACGTTTGAATCATAGAAATCCTAAATATTCAATGAAAATATATAGAAAAAAAAACACTTTAATGTCTTTTTTTATATTATAAACATCAAAATCACATATATTTACATAAATCCGATCAAAACAAACGTGAAATATATATATATATATATATATATATATATATATATATATATATATATATATATATATATATATATATATATATATTGTTTTTTTTTGTTTTTTTTTGTTTTTTTCCGACGAATGTATACATCTATATGTAATTTTACTGATTCTATCGTAAAAAAATATAAAATAAATAAATAGATAAATAAATAAAATTGATATCTCAAAGTATTTCATTTTACGTATTTCTTTTGATTTTTTAGGATTTTAGGGTTCATAGATTTTCTATTTAACCCATCATATATATATATATATATATATATATATATATATATATATATATATATATATATATATATATATATATATATATATATATATATATATATATATATATATTATATATATATATAGACACACATGTAATGTTCCATTTTCACAACAAAAAAATTTAATTTTATTAAAGCAAAGGTTCGCAATTATAAATCCATTATGAAGAAAACCGTTTATCCAAATTACATTTATTGGAAATCTGAGTAATATTAAAGCGTAGAATCTTCATTGCTGCTGATGAATGTGTCACGTCTTCGCATTCCCTGACAACCGATGATACATGAAATAATAAAAAACTAGGTATGCACAAAACTTAGTGAGTTTCCCCCAAAATACCTCTTACGATAAACATACAAGCATGAATAACGACCCACAATCATCGGATTGGAATGTACATGCCTAATCTATCCACAGACTTGAATACCATCATGCAACGGGTCTAATCAGCCATCAGGTTGTAATACCCATGGTTTGTTGGCCTACCGCCTCAACCCAACTGCTCTTCCCGAGCCTCCATTCCTAGGACATATTGGCGACCCACACCAAGTATCTTGACCATCAACACAAAACAGGATCGCCTGAACCCACTACCATGATATGTCAACCTATAAACAATCAAGGATCAAGTAGGCACAAAATACAGGCAAACAACAACCATACAAATCACTACCGCCTACTAGTCCTCTATCAGTACAATGTCTCGCTACCAGATGGCCTCCATGAAATGCGTAACTATAAGTAACCAGAGGTAAGATTACGACCGAAACAGATGATCCGACTCTAGAGTTACAACTAAACAAGGAACAAGCAAGAAAGGCTAGATCAAGAGTTCTCAAGTCATCCTACATGACTACATACAACCTCTAGTGCACTCCACTAGATGATGACAAGCAAGTACAGGTAGACATACAGATCTATAGATCTCTACTGGATAGTAACATCATATATATCACGATACAGGTCTAACAGATCACCATATCATAGCAACATTAAATATACCAGGATATAGATCTAACAGATCACTACAGCACAACAACATCCTATATACCAGGATATAGATCTAACAGATTACTACAGCATAACAACATCCTATATACCGAGATATAAATCTAATTGATCACTACAGTACAAGAACATTCTATATACCAGGATACAGATCTAACAGATCACTACAATATGGTAGCATACTAAATACCAACAATCCAAGGAATACATAACCGTATATACCCAAATATGAGATAGACACCTGGACAGGTGATCCTACTCTAGAGCCACAACCAAACAAGGAACATGCAAGAAAGCCTAGATCAAGAGTCCTTAGTCTATCCTACATGACTACATATAGTCCCTTTGGCATCCCTACACTAAAAGATAACCAAAACTAGTGGGTCGGCATTGGTACCTTCGATCCACGAGTACAATGAGGCAAAACTCACTTGAAATGAAGAAACATAAAAAAATTAGACGCGTTTACCTTTCTACACTATGTGCTCCCGCGAATTCGCTAATCACAAAAACCAAGTAAAACCTTAATTAATAGTCCAAAACCCTAAAGTTTTACCTAAAGTCAAACTTGGTCAAAAGTCAACAATCAATGAAAGTCAACAAAGTCAACGTTTATGGTAGTTGTGTACGCCCAACTTACTTCTCATAGACCTAACGTATGCGACCTGATCTTATTTCTCCATTAATTACCTTATCACCTAAGAAATTTTCTCTAGAGCTCAGATCTAGACTCAAGACATCGACTTAAGTCACAAAGTTTCCACCTTTATGACTTTCCATGCCTAGAAACGGTCCAAAAGCCAAAACCTTAACTTATTAATAAATAAAGACATCATAACTCTTGCATGGAAGGGATAGAAGGACCAATATCACATTTTAATGGTTCCTAATAGTTTCATAATGGATAAAGTTTCCAAATTTATCCTTTTGAATGGTCCCAACAAACAAGATCTAGTCTTTAAGTCTCAAAAGGGACCAAAAGTATATCTTATTCAACTTAATCCATTAAATCCAAGTCTTTAACCTTTAGATCTGAATCAATACGTTATTTAGATGGATAAAGTTTCCAAATTTATCCATATCAAGGTCACAAACTTTCAAGATCTAAAATTTATGCACATAATGAGACCAAAAGCTCATAACACCCAAAACTATCTAGATCTAACAAATACATTAACAAGATTCAAACTTTGTACCTCAAGAAGAAAGACCAAAATGAACAAGGTTTAGATCTATATGCTCCAATGCAACCAACACTTCCCCAATGAACTCTTTTTTCTCGAAAATGCACCAAGAACACTCTAAAACACTTAAAAACACCTTCTTTTGATCACAAGGCTCAAATTAGTGTTAGGGTTTCAAGGGAGGACATTAAAAATGTGGAGGCTGAGAATGGAAAGGGTTTGGGGGAGTTAATGAGCTTATACAAGGCTCAAAACCCTCAAATTAGGGATTGACATCTGATCGTGTACACCCAACACATGCCTAGTACACCCAACGTACTAGGTTGGGCCTCGGCGATTGACCATGTCTAGTACGCCCAACGTACACCCCGTATGCCCAACATACTAGAGTAAACCTAAATCTCCCTATATTCAAATATTCATAACTTCTTTGTTCTAAGTCCAATTTCAATGATCTTTGTATCCATATAAAGGTTTTGAAGAGCCCTTTAGTGTTATCTAAATATCTTGTACTAAAAACTTCTCGAACAAAACTCCATATTTAATGCAAAAACCCAACCTATGATTTTTCCCTTTCTACCCTTCGGCCAAAACACAATTCAAGGGTAAAATCTCTAAACTATCATTACGTCCTTCCACAATAACTAAACTTTGCATCCCCAAGTCTAAAAGCCTTACACAATCGAATTACGGCCCAAGACTCAGAAATGGAAGGAAACAGGATGTCACAATACACACACACACACACACACATATATATATATATATATATATACACACACACATATGTATATATATATGCGTGTGTGTGTATATGTATGTATATATGTATGTATGTATATATATATACACACATATACACACACACAAACACATAGACAAATAAACACTAGGAGAATGCCCGCGTAGATTAAAAAATAATGTTGACATATTGAAAAGTATATATGCCATTTAAAATAGTTATGCTTTTAACATTAACATTTACATAATACTTTTTACATTAGTGTTCTTTTAAATAACTTTTAGGATTGATTTATTTAAGAGTATACTTATGTGACCAACTTTTAATTTCGATGATATATATATATATATATATATATATATATATATATATATATATATATATATATATATATATATATATAATTTGATAATACTTTTTATCTATTATTATTGTTAATTAATTTATCAAATCATATCGAAAGATTCTCTATTATTATAAATATAGATTTTGGATATTATTTTAGTTAATTTTACAATACAATTGAAGTTTTGATTTAACAAGTTTAAACAATTTTAACTATTTAAAAAACTTTAATTATTTTTTAAATAAATTAACAAAATGGATATATTATCTTGAATGTACTTTAATTTTACTAACATAAAAACATAAAAACATATCTTCAACTTTTCATATTTGAACCACAATCCACATCAAATATATGAATGTTTTATGTTGAAAAAACATATATACTACAAATATATTTATAAATGTATGGGAAAGTAAAAAGTATTTACTAAATTACATCAACTTTAGAAACATGAAAATCTATCTAGTGAAGTGATCATAAGATATAATGAAAAACACTTAGAGTAGTTGTTATTAATTGGTTGAAAATTTAATGTTTATGGTGGTTTTAAATGAATACGACGTAAATATATAATATATTTTGAGCTATATTTATTTGGATGAACTATTTTATAAGATTTATATATATACATGAACGTAATATAAATAAAAAACCTATTTTATTTTTATTTTTAGGGTTTAGGTCATTTTTGGTCACTTAACTTTTGGTTTTGTGCTCAATTGGCCACTTAACTCTTTGTAAGTTTTAAAAGGTCATCAAACTTTTAACTTTGTTCTCATTTAGTCACTTAACTTTTGGTTTGGTCACATTTAGTCACCTAACTTTTAAAATTGTTCTCATTTAGTCACTAAACTTCTAATATTTTTTAAAAGTTTAGTGACTAAATGAGCACAAATCTAAAAGTTAAGTGAGTAAACCAAAAGTTAAGTGACTAAATAAGTACAAAATCAAAAGTTTGATGACCTTTTAAAACTTAAAAATAGTTAAGTAACCAAATGAGCACAAAACCGAAAGTTAAGTGACCAAAAATGACATAAACTCTTATTTTTATTACTAATCTTTTATCGAAAAAAAACTTAATATCCATTTTTTTTTGTAGATATCTATATTAATATGTAAAATATTAACTTTTTCAAAATAACTCACTCCTTTTTCGTTAGTTTTTTTAAATATTTAGGTTTATTTTTTTATCGGAAAAAATAACATAAATATGTGCAGTTTAGATTCATACTGTGAATATTTTCAGTTGTGAATTTTACAAAAATAATTTATGATTAATTAAAACCTTTAAAATATTATAAAATTACAAATATATATAGTTCGATTCAAATGTGAATTTCACTAAATTAATGTGTGAATGATCAAAGTGTTGAAATAGTATGTCAGATTTAAATTATGAATGCTAAAAACAAAGTAAATCTATTCACAATATGAATCTGATTCACAGTTTGAATTTGACTAGCAAAGTAAAAAAAGTAACTTTTTTTTTTATTTTTTATATATGAATGTTTATTTAACAAGTATCTAAATTTATGAATTTTGATATACTTATTTCAAATTTTCATTTAAAAATAAGCATAAATAAAAAAAAAAAAAAAAAAAAAAAAAAAAAAAAAAAAACTGACAATACAAAGTGAGATTTTTTGAAAACAAAAAGTTCATTTTTGTTTATCAATATGAACGGATATGGAAAAACTTAGTAGAATAGGTATATTTAGAAAAATACACAAGAACATGAAATTTGTAAGAGACCATAAGGATAGTTTCCATTATGTAAATTAAGTATAGTTTCAATTATGTCAATTGTCCTTGTTGAGTGCTAACATATATATTTTTTTATTGCAATTAGAAAATGTCACATTGGTTCTCACACTCAAAAACTTTTGTATAATATTAAAAATGTATAAATAGAGCAAATTTGGGAAATTAAAAACATTTTTGAAATTTGTAAGAGAACCATGCATATAATCGTCCCAATTTACGGATTAGAGTTCTTATTGAGTGATACTTATTTTAACATCTGTTGTGATTACAATTACAAAAGGTCACGTTACCTCTCTTACTGAATAAATTTGGTTTAATTTTAAAATGTATTAATACGAAAAGTAAACTGCCGTTGTCAAGGAGAGTTAGTAACTTCAATAACTTTGGAAAATTAAACAAGGTAAACTATTTATAAGAAGAAATCCATACAATCTGATCAATTTGTGCTTTTGTAGTGATGTATAGAGGTACTTATTCTGACACATCTGCTGTGATTGCAATCATAAAATGGCACATTTGTTCTCATTCTCAAAAACATTTGTGTAACTTACAAACGTGTTAATACGGCAACAAAATTACTACTATTGAAGATAGGCAGCAACTTAAATAAATTCCTCATAATTTCTGGTTTTTAATTCTTGTTGAGTGGTACTTATTTTAACAAACCAGTGTTGATTGCAATTTGAGAAAGACACTTTAGTTTTTATACTAAACCTTTTTTTATTTAAGAACTTATTAATAAGAGAAGTAAATTATCACTACTGAGGAGAGGTAACTTCGGGAAATTAACCAGATTATTAAATTTGTAAGAGAACCATCCATATTATCTTCGAAATTTATTGTTTAGCAATCTTGTTGAAAGGTACTTTATTTAGCATATTTGTTTTGATTTCAATTAGAAAATGTCATATTATTTCTCATATTTAAAAACCTTTGTTTAATTTAAAAATGTATTAATACAAGTGAATTACAACTATTGAGGAGAGCTAGCAACTTAAATAACTTTGGGAAATTAAACAATGTATGAAATTTGTAACAAAACCATCTATATAACTTGTGCAATGGTTTAGTATTCTTTTTGAGAGGTACTTATTTTGCTGAGATGCAAATTATATAAACAGTACATTAAAATAATTGTGTAAATGAATAGTCATTTTGTTTCTTATAATTAATACAGCTTTGACTTGAGTGCATCATGGAAAGTAAAGCTATTGCAGCTATTGGAATTGACCTTGGAACAACCTACTCTTGTGTGGGTGTTTGGCAAAATGACCAAGTTGAGATCATAGCCAATGATCAAGGAAATAGGACTATGCCATCTTGTGTTGCATTCACTACTGATGGGCGTCTGATTGGTGAAGGTGCTAAGAACCAAATTGCTATGAACTCCACCAACACCATTTATGGTTCGTATTTTATTCCTTTATTCCATTGTTTAGCTGCTTGAATTTATAAAATAATGAGTTGTACCATCTTTGATTAAAACAAATGTGGTGAATTTCCAGATGCAAAAAGATTGATCGGGAGGAGATTCAATGATGCCAAGCTTCAAGAGGACATGCAATTTTGGCCTTTCAAAGTCATAAAAGGAAGTAACGACATTCCAAAGATTGTAGTTTCATACAATGGTGAAAAAAAGGAGTTTTCTGCTGAGGAAATTTCATCCATGGTTCTTATGAAACTGAAAAGTATTGCAGAGGCGTTTCTTGGTAAAACTGTACATGATGCAGTCATCACTGTTCCAGCTTATTTTGATGATTCCCAACGCCAAGCAACAAAGGATGCTGGTTATGTTGCTGGACTTAATGTTCTACGATTAATCAATGAACCTACCTCAGCTGCAATTGCTTATGGATTAGATACGAGAAGTGATATAACTTGTGATACAAATGTGCTTATCTTTGATTTGGGCGGTGGTACTTTTGATGTATCTCTTGTCACCATTGATGTCAGAGGTAAGATAAAAGTGAAGGCTGTTTCAGGTGACACTCACTTAGGTGGTCAGGATTTTGATAACATGATGGTGGAGTATTTCGTGGAGCAATTCAACAGAAAGCATAGGACAAACATGAGCGGGAATATAAAGGCACTAGGGCGATTAAGGGTAGCTTGTGAAAAAGCAAAACGACTTCTCTCTTCAACTACTGAAACTATTGTTGAACTGGATACTTTGCATGAGGGTATTGATTTTTTTATGAGAATTACTCGTGCAAAGTTTGAAAATTTGAATGAAGACTTCTTTAGTAAGTGTATAGAGATGGTGGAGAATTGTTTGGGTGATGCAAGAATGAATGTAAATGATATCGATGAGGTAGTCCTTGTTGGTGGGTCAACAAGGATACCTAAGGTTCAAGAATTGTTGAAAGACTTCTTCAATGGAAAAGAGCTTTGTAAAAGGATCCATCCTGATGAGGCAGTTGCATATGGTGCAACTATTCTTTCTGCAAAGTTAAGTGGTGAAAGAAGTCAAAAAGTGAACAACTTAGAGTTGGATGATGTTGTCCCTCTATCACTTGGTGTAGCTGTGGTTGATGGTTCTTTATCGGTCATTATTAAAAGAAATACCTCAATACCAACCAACATGAAAAGAGATTATGTTACATCCCAAAATAACCAAAGTGCTATATCTTTCGATGTATATCAAGGTGAAAGAACTAGGGCTATTTATAATAACTGGTTAGGAAGTTTCGAAGTTTTAGTCCCACTAGCCCCGAAGGGTATGTCAAAGGTGGAAGTGGTCTTTGAAATTGATGATGATGGCATTCTAAAGTGCTCAGGCGAAGAAACAACGACTGGACTAAAAAGGAAGATTATAATTAGCAACGAGAAGAAGAGGCTTTCAAAGGAAGAAATCAAAAAAATGCTAGAAGATGCTGAAAAGTATAGACGTGAAGACGAGGAGTATACAAAGAAGATTTTTGCATATAATGCTTTGGAGGAATACATTGACAATTTGAATAGAAAAATAGAGATCATGAGAAGTAGAGATAAGGATATGATCCATAAAGAAGAAATAGAAAAAATAGTAAATGGGATAATGGATTCAAGAAAAATTCTTGATAGAAACAAGGTTGCAGATTGTGGTAAGTATGAGAAGACACTAGCTGTACTGAAAAATGTGGTTGTTCCCGTCATCGGCCAACTTGCATCAGCTTTTATTCAATACGGTATGGATTTTTTCTAAACAACTAAGATCCTAAAAAATAAACACATTATTTTACCATACATAATATTATTATGGACTATTTTTTCTATTTTTAATAACATTTGGACATTGTATTTTCAATATTTATGTGTATGTGTGAAACATTCGATGATATATTTGTGAAATTTCAATTTCTTTTTGTAAAGTTTCTTATGTCGAATCAATATATTTATTTCTTATTTTTCATTTTTGTGTCATATGAATTATGCCAAAAAAAAAAATTATCCAACTTCATACTATCATTCATGTGTATCCCATACATAAAGCAGTCATAAGAATACTATTGTATATATGTTTGTATGTTCATGTTGCTTCAAAACAATAATTAATTAAAAATCATGGATATGTCATATTATCCATATTATCAATCTAAGCGTTTTTTTAAATGCAAATTGTCTATCTTATCACTTTATATTTTAGTATATGTTTAACATTTTAATTATAATAATAAGTGCTTTTTAAAAGTTTCTTTCACTTATTAAAAATAACAAGTGGTTTTAAAATTAATAAGCAATAATTATAAATAATAAAATCAAATTACATGGATATGTCATATTATCCATGCAAGTGTCTTTTGAAATGCAAATTGTTTATCTTATCACTTTATTATTTAGTGTATGTTTCACATTTTGATAATAATTTTAATTGTTTCTTAAAAGTCTTCTTTAACTTATTAATAATAATAAGTGGTTTAAAATTAATGAATAACAATTTTAAATGATAATAACATCAAATTATAAATTACATTTAGCTATAAATAAATTGTATTCTAAATGAACATCATTATTGAAATTAGAAAATTATCGCATAAGTAAAAATATAATTAATCAATAATAATAATTGTTAAAAATAATAGTAAATAGATAATTATATTTAATTCTATTAATAACTAATATATATATATATATATATATATATATATATATATATATAGAGAGAGAGAGACAGAGAGAGAGAGAGAGAGTTAGGTTCAAATGTTTTCACTATCTATTGTGTGCATGTATGACTGATTCTGAACCAATCATTTTAGTTATTTTAAGAAAGTAATTCATGCATATTAAATGCTGAAGATGTAATTAATATTCATTATATCTTCAACATGTAATATGCATTAATTACTTTCTTAAAATAACTAAAATGATTGGTCCAGAATCAGTCATACATACACAATAGATAGTGAAAACAAAATAACCTAACCCTATATATATATATATATATATATATATATATATATATATATATTATTGTAAAAAATATTATATAAAAGTTAATGTCAATAACATAACCATTTTAAACATATATTTTTCAATATGTTAACAATATATTTTTAATCTTCGTTGCGCAAATAACGATAATTCGTATAGCATACTTATAAAGAAAATATTTTTCTTTTCACCACGTTCATTTGAAACTCCCATAATGTATTTTACTCAAACCATATGCATTTGAAACCTTTTATTTTATTGAATACCATTGAAAAGTCTCTTAATAATGGTTAACCATTCAAAGGTTTTATAACTTATATAAAATATTTAACAAGAAATTAATGGATAGTCTACTATAAAAGGTCAATCTCTTTGAATAGACACACAAATACAAATCACATACAAAATTCACAAAGAAAACAAATCTAAAGGTTTTTGTGTTGGTTTGAGGGCTTTTGACCATTTTTCAAGCCATGTTATACAAGAAATTGAGGTGTTTACCCACACATAATTTAGCTACATATGTTAATGTGTGGATAACTACCCACACATGTTTGTATATGTGTGGATAAATGCCAATAATTTTATTTCATAAACATGAACACTTAATATATGTTGTTGGTAATATCTTTTAGCCACACTTTTTTTTGGTTGAAAAATTCCCCTCAAAATTTAGTGATAGATTACATGTTAAATTACCAACACATGTGTTGAATTTTATTTATATGTGGGTAAACTATCTACACATATGTAGAAACTTAATATATGTGTAGCTAATTTTTTAAAATTTAGATACAATGTACACATAATATTTATATGTTAAAATAAAGTTAATATACTACTATTTTTTTAGTGACGTGGAAAACTGAAAACTTACATATAGTTATGATATGAAAATATGTGTGGCTAACATGTACATATTATCTAGGAGAGGTATTATGGTTCCTTCTATTATGTGCCATATTTGTTTGGATGAAGTAGAGACCATTGAGCATATTTTTATAGCCTGTCCTGACTTGATTAACATATGGGTAAGGGTAGCTATTTGGTGGGGAGTATCTATCCTGGTTCATCTTTCGGTGCATTCGTTAATCAACTGGTCATAAAATGTCAATCTACGTAGAGGGCAAAGGAAGATTTTTGATGCGGTAATTATCACTTCTTTCTGGTGCTTATGGAACTTTCGTAATACTTCTATTTTTGGGACGGTTATACCAAAGAAATCGGTTCTTTTTGATGAGGTCGTTGAGAAGTCTTTCTTTTGGATTTCTAATAGATGTAGTAGAGTAAAATTACATTGGAATGATTGGCTTCGTAACCCAAAATTAGCTTCCTCTAAAATGTAATTTCTTGCTAGCTTCTTGCTAGTGTTTTTTTTTAATAAAATTTTGCTGTTAAAAAAAAAAACATGTGCATATTACGTACATATAATACTATTATAAAAATTTTGTAGATAAATATAAAATGACATGGAAACAAAAAAAATATAACTCAACACTTAAAACAAAATTTAAAAAGAAATTAAAACTAAAATTGAAATTAAAACAACATGGAACAATGTAAATTATGATGAAATTTTGAGATTGGTATTTTTTCCGAAAATGGTGAGACTATGGCTATAGATGGTGACATTTGTTCCATTAAATTCGCCCCCCACAAAACCTATCAAAATGATACAAGAACGCATGGAACAATAGTGAAATTCTAAATTTTCATTTCCCTCCAATTAAATTAATTTTCCCTCTAATAAGTTTTTTTTTTCAGATCCCTCATTTTGGTTCCCCCTCCCCTGTACATATATAAAAACACAAACTACTAATCTTTTCTTATTCTCTCCACGCCGACCATTCATTTGATGCCCTCATCGCCTTTTTTCATCATTCGATTTGAGGCATGACTACCCTTTCTTCTTTTTGATTACTCAGGTTACTAAAATCACTGATCTCTTCGATTGCAATTACAAGCGCCCTTCAATTTGACAACCTCAATTGATTTGGTAAAGGGTATGGTTCCAAATTGATCAAATGTGTTTATTTCGTCGATTTCATACTCTCTGTAATCCCCAACTTTAATTTTCACCGTTATTTGGAGTTTGGACATTCCAATTTTGTTATAAAATTTTAATATTGTGATGATATGACTTGTATAAATCAAACTCATGCTTGCTGGAGCAAAAGTCTTGAGGGTATCGGAAGTTACATTTCATCGAAGAAGATCATTGATTAAGAAGAGGCTTCCACAACAAATATGGATTTACTTTGAGTCGACATAGTTTTGTATTATTTTTAAAGTTGTAGCCTCCTTAACTTTGTAGATTTTAATGTTGTTTTTTTGTTCATCTTGGTAATGTTTAGGATTTATCAGAATTCTAACTTCTTCAATGGGTTCGATTCATTCTTTTATCTACACATTAAAATAAATATTCACACATCTATCATTTTTATCTACACATTAAATTATTTTAACTTACATATTTAATTGTCAACAATACTTTTGAAGAACATGCCATGTAACTTGACATGTCATCCATCTAGTCCATGTCATTGGCCATGTCATCAACCATGTCATCGGCTGCCTAAAAAAATCATATCACTTCGACCCACACATACTTACTAGTTTTAGCAACACATGCATATGTAGGTATAGCTTTACTTATATTTACACATAATCGATGTGTATGTAATAATCTTTATCTACAGTCATGCGCCAACACATAGTGACACTTAATTTATGTGTGGATAAAACCAACTACCAACACATAAGAGGTTTTTACCCACACATAACGTGTGTAGGTAAACCCCCAAATTTCTTGTAGTGTATTATGTTAAAGTTTTTAATTTGTAATATACTAATTTTTTTTGTCTTGGTTTAAATATTCTTTTAAAACAATCATTTTATGTTATGGTTGAAATTTTAATTTAAATTAGATTAGATTCATGTTATCGATCATATATTATAGAATGTGATATAGATAATATTTAATTAAATATTGTATATATGTTTGTATGGTTATGTTGCTTCAAATCAATAGTTAATTAAAAATTATGGATATGTCATATTATCCATGTTATCCATGTAAGTCTCTTTTAAAATGCAAATTGTCTTTCTTATCACTTTATATTTTAGTATATGTTTAACATTTTAAGTATAATAATAAGAGCTTTTTAAAAGTTTTCTTTCACTTATTAATAATAATAAACTGTTTTAAAATTAACGAACAATAGTTATAAATATAAAATCAAATTATAAAAATCATGGATATGTCATTTATCCATGCATGTCTCTTTAGAAATGCAAATTGTCAATCTTATCACCATATTATTTAGTATATATTTAATATTTGAATAATAATATTAAGTGTTTCTTAAAAGTGTTCATCAACTAATTATTAATAATAACTTGTTTAAAATTAATAAACAATAGTTTTAAATGATAATAACATCAAATTGTAAATTACATAACGCCACCTACAAATAATCTATATTTTAAATGAACATCATTAATAAAATTAGAAAATAATTGCATAAGTAAAACTTTAAATTAATCAATCATAACAATTGTTAAGAATAATATTACATAGAGAATTATGTTTAATTGTATTAATGAGGAAGGTGGGTTGATGTCAATAAATATTTTTGTTAATAATAATTGAGATATTATATATATATATATATATATATATATATATATATATATATTAAAAATATTATGTCAAAGTTAATATTGATAACATAACCATTATAAACATATATTTTTCAATATTCTAACAATATATTTTCAACCCGCGTCGCGCAACGCGCGGGAATTCGTCTGGTATATATATAATAATACGCAAGTGAGCAGAATCACAACATAGTACTTTAGATGAAAATATCCCACATACTTTTGGTTGTCATTGTAGCGTTGACTATGTTACTTCATAACTAGGGAAGCTTCACCATACTACGCACGG